CAATCAGATTAAACTTGAGAAAAACACTAGCATGTTAAAAAGTAATGGCTGCCATTACATTGGGAAAACAGAGTTGATTCTGGGTTACCAGAAAATCAGTAACGGCGTCAGTATTTGGAGCCAAATCAAAAGGCATCCTTTTCTACACTAGAACCTTGATTTTAAGTATTAAAGTAAAAATTTTAAATAATTAAATATCTTATCTTAATCATCATTTGTCCAGTTTTTCTACCAAACACACATATGTTTAAAATATATATGGATTTTGCATGTTTAACACATGCACTGCCATCTACAAGAATGCTCATAGTAGGAAAACTGAGTGTACTTGCCAACTGTGAGATAGTTCATTATTGATCACTTTACTTAAAATCACAGAGTACGAGTACTGCTTTAGCAAAGGCATGCAGTATTTAGGTCTTTGGTGTAAAGGAGGGGACTAAATAATACACTTGGTGTACTGAAATGGATTATTTACTTCTAAAAACATAGATACGATAACTGAATGTTTAGAGCCCAAAACCCATTTTTTGGGAGGTGGGGAATTCACTTGGGAAAGTAATATATGGACTGCTCAAGTTCTTGTTCAGTGAAACATGCAAGATTAATGGAAAATCGTATTGCACGTGTACGGGTGTGTGAATGCACAGAATGGTCGAATATTGTTTATCTAGTTCTAAGTTATCTCATAGTTGTCACAGGCAGCAGAAATATGTTTTCAAATGCAATTATGAGTACACTCATTCTTACTGCTAAACATAATTATACCTGAATTTAAAATAATTTAAAAGCAGAAAAATGTAAGATCTTGGCACTTGTGAATGAACACACTATAACAGCTTTGGCTGCGAATGTGTTAATATGTAAGTATTTTTGTGCAATTATTTCAAAGAATAATTTGTGTACATAAAATATCACACTGACCAAGACCATCCTATAACATCTTTTGTTACCTGAATGTTACTGACTGAAAAAATATTTAGATATTTTTATATTATAATGCAGTTAAAATCATTCGTGCAATATTAAAAGCTCGTACCCAGAAATGCTGACTGGCAGTTTGACAGCGATGCTTGTTTCACAGTGTAAAGGATTTCCAGCAAACCTTTTAGTTTCCCTTTCAGAAGTCATTGGACTAAAATTTAAGTGCTTTATAAAGAAAAAAAAAAAAAAAATGCTTAATTTTTTTTAACTGCTGTCAAAAGTGCGAAGATGTTAATGTATCACTGCAAAAGTGTGAAAATGGAAATAGCATGATAATTAGCTGAAATAAAAAAACAGTGGCAATCTGTGATTAAATTACATCTGTTATTAATTATTTCTGTTTATAGTTACATTTTGCTTTCTTGTGTTTTTAAGAACAGATGCTCTCATATTAGAAACCAAATAGAGTTACTGATTTAACCTCCATTAAAACTTACCTATCAGGGCCAAAGTTAAATCAACAGTCTACAGCACTATAACTTCCATAGTTAGGATAATGTGTAAGAACTGAAATTTATAAAATTCTGCTAAATCAGAATAATTACCAGTATGTCAACTTAATGAATAAATACCATTAATGAGTATTCATCTAAATACTTTTCATTCAAAATGCAAAATTATTCCCTAAAAGGATACAGTAATTTTTAAGATGAACATACATGGTTCCAAAGAATTTTGGTTTTCTGGGGAAGAGGCTCTCTTGGAGAAAACAATTGTCAGTGATGGTAGTAATAAGAGTCTTGAATGCTATAATGGCTTTACACCATTCAAACTCTCGGTATCATTTAAATAAAAATATAAATGGTTATAGAATCTAGCTTACCTTATAAAATAATAATAATCTTATTATCTTATAAAATATATCTTAAGCATGATAAATGGTTTTATTACTAAAAAAAGCTTTATCAATAATAAGTAGCAAAAATTGTAATAATAAATCAAAATTTCAAAACTAGCTTATATTTCACTTTCAAACATAATGCAAGTTAAATGTTTATAAATACAAAAAACAGATCTTATGTGTAAAAATCCCCCCCCCAAAAGGTTAAATTATAAATTTTGTTTGGAACTTCTAAAACACTTAATGTTTATTATATTCAACCAATGAAGTTTGACTTTTTTTATTAATGCCACCTAGTCAGTATGGTGGTTAATGAAGCTGACTGCCATATTGATTGACTTGAATCACAGAAAAGGCATAGTTGTTTGTAAGTGTATAGTATCTATGAGACAAAGAGACACTCCAAATACATAGCAAATCGAAAGTTCTCTCAATAGGTTAGTGGTAAAGAAAAAAAAGAGTTAGAGATCCTCAGACTGATCACCAGGATGTTCTTCCAAACTGGGATGGAGGCTTAATAGTTAGCCAGCTGATACTTAATATACATACAGAAAATGCAATTGTCGGCCTTGCTTCAACCTGCTTTTATTTATTACTTCCCTTTCTATAGTCTGTTACTTAAAAAAAAAAAAAAAAAAAAAAGCTCTTTGAGGTCATAATGTCCTTTCCTCACAAAAATATGTATCACCATAATGGTATACTAAGAACTAGTGGATTTTAGTAAATTAAAGAACTCAACAATTTCCACAACAGTTCTTACCATGGTTACCAGCCAAGCTACAGAAAATGGCCTTTAAGTGCCTTTCTAAAGTAACAGACTATGAAACAATTTGAATTTTATAAATTATCTTATTATATAAGATAGAGAATGATGATCACCATCAGAGTTACATTGTACTTCATAGAAATGGTAAAGCAATAATTTTATTGCAACTCTAGATATGGTATACTACTTGCGAGAAAAGTAAAAATTCTTAAGGTACACCAAGAAATTTCATGAAGCTTTCAGAGTTGAGAATTTATACAATTTAAAAAAAAAGAAAGAAAGAAAAGATGGTTCTTTGAGATTATCCACACCCCCTCAAAAAGTCAAAAGAATATTTACGAAGAAAAGCAGTATGTCACCAAAACAGTTATGTGATAACCCACAACATCTGTAAAGAGTCCTCATGTGGCAACCTATGTATGTACATAGCATATCTGTTTTGGCCAGCGTACAATACCAGTGTTTTTGATGAATTCTCTAACCAGTTGAAAGAAAAAAGGATTTCTCAAATACTTTTATTCCTTATGTTTAACGTTTCTCCAATTTTACTGACTGCTCTTGTATGGAATTCTTAGTACAGTCAAAAGTCATTAATCCGGACTCGTCGGGACTTCGGCGATTCCGGATTATCGATTTTTCTGCATTATAGATCATCAGTTTAAATCTGGTAAGATGGCATGCAGAAATTATAAAATTAAAAATATGAAACCGTAATTTATGAAATAAAGAACAATTATCATCTAAAGGGTATCAAAATTTACAAGAAAAAAAAGCTTAATATTTGTTTACTTTATTAAACATTTCTTTCAATGTAAGTAGTCTAAGTTGCTTCGTTTTATGTGATAATACTTTCTCTTTAATTCTATAAACAGACATAATTTCTTGTTCAGTTACAAAGTTCCGCTGATGAAGTCCTATAATTGCTGTGTCAAGAATACTGACTAATTTGTCAATTAAAATTTTTTCGTTTTCAATAACCTCTGTGTCACTTTCTTCACTATCGGAAGCGAATTTTAATGACAAGGAATTTGATTTAAATCATATCAAAGACGGAGTACATCGAGATGAAATACTACATTTAGTAAGGAATTATAAGCCAAATAAAATAAAAACATCTGCCCTGAAGATAAGGATAGTGCTGACATATCAACTTCCAATTCATTGCACGCCACGCGGCGTTAAAGATAAACAAAGTTTAGATAAACAAAGGATATGCCTTTATCCATTTTTTGCAGCAATTCCACTTTTCGTTTAATGGACTTCAAAACATACTTTCACTTTCTAGATCCTTTACATATTAGTAAATATATATCAGATATTCTATGTGACATAATCAAAAGTTCAAGCTTACTTTTATAAAATTGTTCTAACAGTCTGCAAAAAATAATAAGCTGAATCCAATTCGAAGATTAAGGAACAACGCAATCTGCAACATTAACTGAATTAGATAATTTTAGCTTAGCTTATACCATCCGTTATACATTAAACGTGCATTCGTAAACACATTTTGCGCACGCGCACACTCATATTCGCAGCTGTAAAGGTCTTACACGCATGCGTCAACGCAATGCATGTGCAGAAAGTTTGTAGCTTTGAGGTCCGGATTATAGATCATTCCAGATTATGGGTGTCCAAATTAACGACTTTTGACTGTATCATTTAAATGCACATTACCTTGAGAAAAATTAGTCACCAACGAGATTTCAACTTTTTTGGGGGTGATGAGGATAATCAGAAAGTACTCTCAACATTTCAAAATGCAAAAAGCACAGATAATTTGTATAAAGATAAAATGAAAATTATACATTTTTAAAATTCAAACTAACATTTATATACTAGTAATATTTTGATTATTAACACCACTGCATAAAATCAAGGTTCTATGATTTCCATAATACACATATTTAAATTTTCAAAAGAATTAATTGATGATTTTATAGTCCCTTATATCATAAACAGTAAAATATTTCAAAAAGCCAAAATAAAATTTAATAAGTCAAAATTTATAGTTCAAAGTTAACATTAATATTCCTAAAAATGAATTATTGATTGCTTGAAGTTAATTTCTACTTCAATCAGTTTTTGACCATACCCAAGGACATGTGGTTCAATGCAATGCATATTAGTGAATATATTTATTAATTTATTCTATATTAAATTTATTCAAACTGGATCATAAGATTCATGCGATTCAAAGTTATGTGAAACTGAAATACCCAAGAGACAATAATTTATAATATCAATTATCAACTATGAATGAATTTAAGATATTCTGATCTTAATTAACTAGATTAATTAGATTTTAATAATAACTTGATTTCATTTTGATCTTAAAAGAGAAAGTAAAGTTTTGCTTCCATAATATTAAAATATTGTTTCACTGATGTTTAAACGTTTAAAAAACGTGTACTCAATGAAAAAAATGATAATGATTATACATAATAATAACACAACTGAATCAATATAAACCTAATTTTTCATATCAATATGCCTAAAAAGTAATTCTGAATTGAACTTCGAGTTTTCATTTACATATCATAATTTGGTATTTTCTTGTTAAAGCATCTACTGCCTGTCAATTTTGCTGACGAACCTTGACAGTTATTTTAAGCTAATAAGTTGCAAACATTTCAAATTATATCGTAATTTATTATTTTATAAATTATAGTACAAATTCAGCAATTAAGTTTGCCAATTTCAGCAACAAGTGTCACTTTAACTAGGAAGTACTGATATTTTCCTCAATAGTAATTTTTAACTTTTTATAAAATCAAAACATTTGAAATGTCCTATAAGAAGTAAAAATATAAGAGCATTTTATTTCAAAATTAAAAAATATTAAATATTATACAATAATAATAGTAATAATATAATCTCATTTAAAAAGGCAGTTTAACATAATATCTTTAAACACTACATTTTCACTTAGCTTTCAGAAGAAAAGCAGAAGGAGAAATAACTTTCAGTAAAATTCAAAGAAATATAAATTTGATTGAAAAATTGGTTAGAATGTACCAAATTTGAAAGATTTCCGACGATGCTGAAATGTTAAAGATGTATGAAGACGAGAATTTTTGTTTTTGAAATATTCATTAAAATCCATGCGAAAGCTCAAAAAGCGGAGATTGGAATCATTATGATCATTAAGCATAATCAAAAATTTTTGAACCATTTCTTCAAATGACCGAAACAAAATCTGAAGTTCAGCTTTAGTAGTTGGAATATGTTTAGTTTGCAAAATAGCCAAAAGGCCATTATATTCTTTTTTATGTCGTTCAGTTATACCCCATGTATCTTTATTTGTATTTGTTTCTACTAATTGTTCCAATTCTTTTAATTTATTTACAATATTCTTCACATTTTTCCAAAATGTGGCTTGAACCTTATCAAACTCTACAATTAAGTCATAGATAGCCTTTAACTGGGTCCGAAGAGGCAATGAGTCTTCATCTAAGAAGGCTCGTGTTAGCAAGGTATCAAGAAAATTTTCATGAGCAGCTATGACTTGGTCCAAGTCTTGGGCTGATGACATTTTCATCAACAAATCAGCCCAACAACACTCCATAACTTCAAATGCCATATAATATTCCATTTGCTGAACAAAATGTACCATACGAGTCAGATTTACATGGCACTGATAAAGTACTGGAGAAATCTCAGGAATTTTTATTTGCCAGTTTAAATATTTTGATCGAGATTGAGAAATTTTATTCAATATGAATTCCATGCGTTTGGCCCTCCACAATGCTGTAAAGAGTCTGCGATAACAATTCATAGAATGAGATGTAAAAATAGTTCCAATAGGGCCTTCGGTATGATAATCCAAAGTGAAAACATCCCATCCAGTATCCCCTATTACAGAAACATCCAAAAGTCTTACATCTAATCTTTGTAAAACTTCAGGATTATGAAACTGGGCATTAGTTGCCCTTACAGCACTCTCTAATAAGCCATACAGATTGAGATTATCTACATATTTTACCGGTTTCCCTAAATCTGCATTTAAAAGATCCATCAAATGTCTGATGAAATCTCCTTGTCCTAGCAAAAAATAATTTCTCATTGCTAGTAAATGATCCATTAAGTGGTATTTATCATTCAAAACTTGTAAAACTATTTTGTTAGTTTTCACATAATTCCTTTCCAGAATTTTTTCAAAATTCCCATCTCTTTCTTGTGCAAATAGTGATTCAATATGCATCAAATTAAATGCCCTCATGCGTCTTTCATCATCTCGAGCAAACGATTTATCATGACAAACATGCTGTAAAAAGTTAATGGCTTTCCCAGTACAAAGTATTTTTCTTGCTTGCACTGTAGTTATAAAGGAAGGTATCATATCCTTATTCAAGCTATATTTTTCTTGCCAGAGATGAACATCAGGTATTGTAATATTACATGCTACAAAAAATTCTTCAAATGGATCTTCTAACTCTCCACAAAAAATCCATTTACTCAACATATTGAACAATGGTCGGCTAACAACTTGTAATAGCTTTTGAATAAGATCTCTGACATAAGAATCTCCATGTTGCAAATGGGAGTATAAAATCGAAGCAAGAGCACCACCCTTTTTACCTTTACAAGCATCAATAACAGAAGCTAGAATCTTCAGCTGCAAACAGGGCTCAAAAAACCAAACTGATAGTTTATGAAAAGTTAATGAATTTGTGTTATTATACAAATGAATTAAATTTACTTCCTGGATTAAAAATGATTCAAACTCAGAAATTAGTTTATGATAATCAACCATTTTTTCATTCAAAGCTACAACAAAACTTTGTGCTATACGGCCTACAGATTTTTTATTACTTTGAGATTTACAGAACTCATTTATATGACAGTACATCCAACCTAGGTTAAGAAACCTTAATATAAGTCTTTTTATTGGATTTGGAATATCACTATTAAATACCACTTTAAAATTTCCCTTTCCAGGTTCCCAAACTATAACATCTCCTCTCAGTCCTAGAACTCCCAATAAAGTATCACGCAAAAGTGGTTTTAGATTATATGAAGTTAAACACACAGAACCTACATTAGATTCCTCTGCTGTTACTGTGAGTGCTTTTTCGGCACTTCCTCTCTTTGTATGAAACTCTAGGTTTTGATCTTCACAATTTGTTGAAATTATAGCAGCTATTTGAGAAATTTTACTTGATGTAGAATGTGTATAATTTTTATCATTCAATTTACTTCTAGACAACTGAAGATCCGTGAAAGAATTTTTAATCCCACCTGAAGTAATCAAATTTAATTGATTGACGTTCGAGTATGGTTTGTTTATCTGGTTATTAATTATATTCCGAGCATTCAATATTATTTCAGGATTTAAGACAATCTCTTCGAAATTCCAAGCATATAGTCCTGCGTTTTTTCTATCATTGCCAAAGCCATACAAGCAATACAAAAATTTAAGAACATTGGCTTTGTTTTTTAATACGCAACTGACTTGAAGTTTACGATACAGTTCGAGAAATTTCAACGCATTTTCGGGTCTCTCTTCCAGCATAAATTTCTGTTTTATGTTTTCACACACAGAAAATTCATCAGTCGTGTAACTTATCAAAGAACAATTCAATATTTGCAATGCTGTTCTATATTCAGATTTCACAGAATTTTCATGTTTTCCGGTTAATCGACACACCAATTTGCGCACTAAAGACGTTGAATCTGAATACGAAGTCATAACGGACAAAATTCACTAAGGATACTATTCAAGTTTTCATAAAGCCTTTATGATAACACTGAAATAATTTTCAGCATAAAATTTCAATTACGGCAATTAATTACATTCCGTTGCAATTCTAAAACCCGCTTAAATTTATAATGCAGTTACAGTTACAGTTTTCCCTTAAAGTATACTGTGTAAACGGGTTTTGCGTGGTATCTCATTCGGGTCACTAGCAAGGCCAACTAGATATCTACAGGCCTGCTCTAAGGCTACTATAAAGTACTCTCTAGTAGCTCTAGCCTGCTCCAAGCTGATGATCACATGATCTGACGTCATAATCTTAGGCTTTCAATTTTGTAAGTTGAGCTTGCTTCGCCGTATAACTATTGCTAGTGAGATAATTGTTTACATGTGTTTTTTCTTCTGAAAAATTTTGTATTTTACCGGAAAGTAAAATATTATATTGTGAATTCGAATTTATAAGAAAAAGTGTGTTTTAGAATGCCAAGAAAGTGTAGTGTACCTAAATGCCGATCAAATTACGATAGCACTACTGAACATGTGTCCACTTTCAAATTTCCTTCGTATCCTGTACTCTCTCAGAAATGGATAAAAAATATTAATCGCAAAGATTTTGTAGCTGGCAAACACAGTAGTGTATGCATTAAGCATTTCGAAGAAGAATTTATCGTTCGAAAAGATAAAGCTGTTCGTGATGATGGGACGGTATTAGTAGTTCCTAGAACTATTCCAGCTTTAAAAAAAGATGCTTATCCAACGATTTTTCAAAACCAGCCATCTTATTTATCGAAGAAACTTCCCACAAAAAGAAAAACACCGGAAGAAAGAGAAGCAGAAGTTGATATTCGTTGTGATAAACAATTTGAACAGTGGAAAAAGAATGATATTATTAGCGATTTTGAAAACCTAATAAATGGTTTTGCAAAAAAAATAGATCTTCCCTCTTCATGGATATTCATTACCAAAGGTAAGATCTTTTGGCTATCGAAATTAGAATTTTTTAAACTGTCCAAAAGTGCTTGTATCTTTAAAAATATTGGAAGATTTAAATGTAAGAGTTTTTTCAATGAAAATGAAATTCCCATTGAAAAGTTCAAATGGATATTTGGAGAAGAGAAAAGCTATGCGATAAATGGTCTAAACTTGAGACAATGATTAGCCATTTGGATGGTTTCTCTGCTTCTGATGTTCATGATGACTGCAATTTAAATTTAGATAAAATAACAAAACTACTGTTGAAATATGCAAAAACAGAAAATAATCCCACATTCTGAGAAATTTAAATTTTTCTATGAACAGATTCAATTAATTCAAATGAAACAGCCTTCGTATAGTGCAGAATTCCTTGCCTGGTCTTGTTATATATTTTATTGTAATCCAAACAGCTACAATATTATACGTAACAGTAAGTATTTTATATTGCCTCATCCGTCATACTTAAGGAAGTTATCTCTGAAAATTGGCCGAGCAGATTCTGGATTGCAAACAAGTCACTGGATGTATTTGAAAAAAAAAATGTGAAATTTTAAATGATTCTGAAAAAATTGTCAAATTATTATTAGATGAGATATATGTAAAACCACAAGTTTCGTATAAAAGTGGTCGTGTTTTAGGTTTTTCGGATAATTCACAGATGGAGGCCACAACTCTGCAAACATTTAACATAAGCTCTATATTATCAAAAAACAGAGATATTGTAGCAATGTTTCCAGTAAAAAACTTATCATCACATCAATTATTAATATTTACAAAACAAGTAATTGACCATGTACAGTCTTGTGGCTATCGAATTATAACTCTAATATCAGACAATAATAGAATTAACAGAAATATGTTCGAAATGCTTTGTGGTGGTGCATTAAAATCCTCATTTATAAACCCTACCATGCATAATCTTCCTATATTTATATTATTTGATACAGTTCATTTATTGAAATCTATACGAAACAACTGGTTCAATCAGAAAGATTCAAACCAAACATTTTTTATACCGTCATTTGAAAACTCAAATATTGTTTACAATTCCAGTGTTTCTACATTTAAAAAAATTGTATGAAATAGAAAAAAAATGATAATATTAAAATGGCTCCAACTTTATCAAGAAAAGTTTTATTTCAGTCTTCTATAGAAAGCAGAATGTAAGTACTGCTATTAAACTTTTTGATGAAAAGACTTTAGCTGCTCTGCAAATTGAATCACAGAATAATAGAACTGGGTATGGAAAAGATGTCTTAGGAACTAAACATTTTATTGATATAATTTTAAAGTGGTGGAAAATTGTGAATGTTAAACACTCTAAAAAGGCCGTACAGTTTCGAGATGTATTTATGCAGCCTATAAGGACAGCCAGAAGATAAAAGCTTAGAATATTTATCACAGTTTTGTTCGTGGCTTATATCATGGAACGATTTTTGCCCAACAACAAAAAACTGTAAGTCACAAATTGGGAAACTGTCAAAAGAAACCCAAGTTGCTCTTCTCCATACAACAGCAACATTGATTGAACTTTCAAAGTATTTGTTAAAAGAATTTAAATTACCTTTTATTCTTTTAGGAAAATTTCAGACAGATAACCTTGAGGGACGTTTCGGTCAATTTCGACAAATGAGTGGCTGTAATTATAATGTATCCTTACAGCAGATTATAGAGTCGGAAAGAAAACTAAAATTAATTAGTTTGCTTAAAATGCAGTCTTCTGAGAAAGGTTCATTTATTTTACAACATTTTTCTTGTAATGATATTGAAGATTTTAATGATTATCAACTTATTGATAAGGAATTTGTTGATGTTTTGCATCAATCCAATGATGTTAATGTTACAGAAAAAGATATAATGTGTCTAATTTACATTTCTGGATATGTTTATAGATCTGTATTGAAGCATATAAATTGTAATCTTTGCAGGAAAAAATTAATTCTTGACAAAGAAATGATAGTTGAATATTGGGAAGATTTTGCGTACTTAGCTGCTATTGATCGAGGTGGTTTATTTTGGCCAACAGAATTCGTGCTTTTCATTAATACCTCTGCATTTAAAATATTTTCAATCCTAATATCTGAAATGTATGAGAAATTATATATTTCATCAAAAAATCAACGTTCTATATTAATAAGTCTCATCACATATTTGGGATGATAGTATTTGTGACTGTAGCAAATCATTGCATGATTTGTTGAAAAGTTGTGCCACATGCATTTCCAATATATTGCTGAATAATTACTGTAAGGTTAAAAATAACAATTTAAAGGAAACCAATGACCAAAAAAGAAAAATGAATAAATTAAATAATTCTGGAATTTAGGTGAAATTTTTACGTAATTTTAAAGTTAAATAATTAGTATTTGCAAACTGTGCATAATTGAGCCATGGATATATATATGAAATTACCTGATCGCGAAAAGTATATACCCTTTCCAAAGACGAACATTTCCACGTATAAAATAAATAAAATATCAATAAAGAGAAAGATATGGCTTCAATTAGATAAGCTTTAAGATTGTAGATCATGATTTAAAAGTAATTTTTACCAAAACTAAAGCAGAAGAAAAGACGAGCGAGAACAATGAAAAAAGATTATGTAGTATGATGTATGAAATGATAGAAGAACTAAGTTCAATGGAGGCTCATGAAGTCTGGAAATTAGTTGAAAGATCCATCAATAAGAAAATTATGATGTTTACAAAAACTACAAAATAAGATTTTTTGATGTAAAAACTGCATATTTAAATGGATACTTGAATAAACCAATTTACATGGAACAACCACCTGGATTTAAATCAGATTCAGACTGCCAAGCATTAATAGATTGGATAAAAAACCAAAACAAAGTAGTAACTCAAATCACATTTATCGAAATCCTTTGCCATAAGCCAAAACAACTGGCTAAATCATGTTTATTTTTGTAGACCTCAAATCAGGGGCTACAATGATAAGCCTGTTTTGGCATTCATATTTCAAAAATTTGAATGGCAAACTTCTTGTTGATGTGAATTAATGATGTTTAACTTAATAATTAATATCTTATAACGTAATGATTTGCTGGATTTTTCATTGCTTAATACTGCATGCATCTTTTACTATTTGTCTATTATTCAATAAATTGACAGTGTATATTTAATCAGATGTTCTTTCATAAGAATTTTTTATAGCATGATATGGTGCTCATTGAGGTAGATTACATAGTTATGATCTCATTTTATTTTCAGGGAATTTTATAATATATTTTTGGATATGCTCCAAGATTTCTCGGCTAATCTTTGGAATATGGTAACAGGTAGTTTGGCGACATTTTGGTAAGGCGATAAAGGTTACTAGCTAGCAGTGTACGTGGATAAAGTCAAGAGTGTGTGCCATGCCATTTTTGTGCAATTCTGGGATGTTTTTTTAAGTGAAAATAGGCCGACGTGTACATGGATACCGTACATGTGCAATTCTTAAAAACGCAGCAAGCAGTGGGCGATTCTGCACTTTCTCCCAATTTCGCACCTAATCTTCTTCATGATTAAGCACTTGTGTTCCATAAAAGTTCTAATATAAGCGTAATTAAATGTTGAATAAAAAAAATGCCTTTACTTTGAGAAAACAAAATGGCATCCAAAACAAAACTAGTAAGTTGCTGTAGCGGGGTTCGTGGCCAAAGTTTTCCCAAGTTACCATAATCCAAAGATTAACTGATTTCTCGTATAATGTTCATGCTTTAAAACATCTTTAAAATAAAACTTTTTTTCTCATATACAGTCAAAAGTCGTTAATCCGGACTCGTCGGGACTTCGGCGATTCCGGATTATAGATCATCAGTTTAAATCTCAAAAGATGGCATGCAGGAATTCTAAAATTAAAAATATGAAACCTTAATTTATGAAATAAAGAACAATTATAATCTAAAGGGTATCAAAATTTACAAAAAAAAACGCTTTATATTTATTTGTTTACTTTATTAAACATTTCTTTCAATGTAAGTTGTTTTAAGTTGCTTCGTTTTATGTGATAATACTTTCTCTTTAATTCTATAAACAGACACAATTTCTTGTTCAGTTACACAGTTCCGCTGTTCAAGTCCCGTTAACTGTTGTGTCGAAAATACCGACTAACTTGTCAATCGAAATTTTTTCGTTTTCACTAACCTCTCTGTCACATTCTTCATATCTTTATCCATTTTTTG